ATATATATATATATATATATATATATATATGGGCAGCATGGGACGGCGTAGACAGCCGGCCAGGCCGGCAAGGCGCACTTGCACTGCACCTGTGTGAGAGTCAGAAGAGGCGTAGTCAGCAGAGTGTAGTCGATTGAGGTACCCGCGAATCAATGAATGGAATGAGGCGATCGAGGTCTTGCGCAGCAGAACCTTGCCGCTCAAAGTCACAATCAAGCAATCAAGCAATTTGACTCTCGTCAAGCGCGAGTGGAATCTTCGGCATGTTTGATGAGCAGATGCTAGGATTGCTTGCACCGCACTACTCTGTCGAATAGTAAAAGTGTATGAACCTACATTACCGTATCGGCTTGTCACAGCGAATCGGCTTTCATCCTTATTGACTCACATGACGCTCGTCGACCCGATTCGGACCAGAGACACTCGTGACCGCGACTATCTATCAGCATCGTCGCCATCAAGCTAGGGAATGGCGGGGCTTTTGCCGAGCTGCGACGGCTGGACAGGGGCTTGCCGACTCAGTTCTCGAGAACCTCGCGCAGCAAATACACAAGCCCACAAGCGGAGCGGCCCCGTCGGTGCCTGCTTTTGCGCTTCGTGGAACGCTCGCTCTCACGTTGATGACCTCCAGCCAGACGACCTTTGCCAGAGAAGCTGCACGTATGAATCTCATCGCTTCCAGCAGGGAACAAGTAGCCGATCATGCTGCACAATTTTGCGTCGGAAGCTACAATAATGACAGGTGCAAATCAAATCACAATGAAGCAGACTGGAGACATTTCGACCATTTACTTCTCAAGCTGGCCACTTTTGACTCAGCGCGTCGTACTGTTGTTGGTTCAGCTGGATGACAGAGCCATGTCGAAGGTTGGTCGGGAAGTTGGGTGCATCGTCTTGCGCCCATGGACCGGCGGTGACGCTCTTGGTAGAGTAGGGCAAATACCTTCCAGGTCCGCTAAAATCGTCGAGCCAGAGGTGAATGAGGCTGGCATCGTTATTGTCGTGGAATGCTGCAGGTCCTTCACGAGCAGCGTTCGTCACTGCTCCATGATCCTGCCAATCGGAGGAGAGCAGACTGGTGTCCGATGTCGTTTGCCACGTCACAACGCTGCTGCTCTCATTCTTCAAGAAGCGCGCCCACCCTCCATTGTCGAGCGGAAGGAATTCTTGATCGATGAAAGGCGTGGCATCCAGGTAGTTCTTGGGCGCACTGAACGTCTTGAAGTCCTTCGTGGTCGCATAGCGGATAGTGTCCTCGCGGACGACCGCACCTTTGTGGTCAGGGTCGTTCTCAGCATAGAAACGAGAGGACCAAAAGACGGTGTACTCTTGAGTCGCAGAGTTGTAGTGCGCGCTTGGTGCCCATACCATGCCTGCCGTAGCGTCTTCGACTGTACCGAGCGGATGTCAGGGGCACCGTCAGCATATTCCTCAAGGGCAGAGCAAGCTCTGATGAGCCTTCGACGCACCATCGACCAGCTCGCTTGGGGACCAGTCCACGAGGTTCGTGGAGGTCCAGACGTAGATCGCTCGGCTGCCGGTGCGCACAGCCTCTCCCCAAGTTGTCTTACCGATGTCCTGCAGAGCATCGTGTCCAGTCAGCTCCACGCCAGCAGCATCGATGAAGCATACCTCGACTTACCAAGTCTGTGGCGATCTGCCAGAACGTCTTACCATCAGGACTGGCCACGAGGTAAGGGTCTCTAGCACCACCTGTACCTTGCCCAGAAGCTGGCGTTAAGACGGGCTGACCACCGTTTAGCATCCTGAAGCTCAGGGCATCATTGCCACGAGACAAGGAAAAGTAGACGGATTGCACGTTGCCTCCCAAGAAGTTGCTGGCGAGGTAGCCTACTTTGGCTTCCGCCCTTGAAGATAGCGTGGAAGGTGACGAGGAGCTGGTGGGAGCGGCAGAGACGCTAGTGCTGGCTACCAGAGCCAAGCAGGCAGTGATGCTAGCAATAGAGAAATGCATCGCGGTTGCTGCTGCAGTGGACCAGATTAGTGAGTGAGATAGTGGGAAAGTAGAATGCTGAAACCGAATCAGAGTGGTGTTCCTGGATGTACGAGGAGCTGACGGCTTCGGAGGGGCTTCCATTTATAGGCATCGATGCGCATACTTCACAAGCGCTTCGTCCTCTGCACCCGTCTTCCCCTCAATCCATCCGTGAGGAGCATTTCGAATGTGGTAGCTGCAGCGACGGCGTCACGGTAGCATCAAGATGCTTTTGCGGTACGGTGCCCCCAAATGTAGGTTTCACGACATTTCGGGAATCTCGTAAACCCCTTTCAGCACCCCCAGACCCGCCGGCGAGGGTGCTGTATGCATCGTGTTTGGTAGTAGTGACATGTGGACACGGAGGGCTGGTAGGATTAGGCCCGCAATGCCGGCGAAGTCATGGAGCACTCGTGACTGTTGTACCGCGCCGCTACGCACCCTCGTCGGTCGCAGAAGCGTGTGAGTGCACACCCGCATCACAGTCGACTGGGATGCAGTAGAGACCTCTTACCTCTCTCACTCCCCCTCGTGGCAAAATGTAGGGCAGCAGCAATTCACGTTCGTGGTGCCTCAACTCTTCATGGCACTTACTCTACTCGTGACTGTCTTCAGAGATGCAATGCTAGGAGGTTGCGTCGCGTGCATGTGGTGCGTTGAAGGCGTCATGTCGGAGCGGATGCTCGGTGACGCACACTTACTGTGGGGCTCCGCGCTCAGTTCCGAGTCACGAGCGAAGGCTGCTTGCTGCTCTCGCGAGAAGTCCGAGCTGGAAGACCCGGCCTGTCGCTCATGTGAAGAAGCAGCCAAGCTTTTGATGCTTTCTCCCCTCGATGCTCCATGCACCCTTTTTAGTCAAGTGTGCCTCGTCTGGGGGAGGCCCATCCAGCATCGTCTCGTCTAGCGCAGCAAGCCAAGCTTTTCAAGTCTGATTACTTGCTTTCCCCACCACGGTCGCGAGATTTCCGATAAAATGTAATGCGCAGAGGGGCAAGGGAGCGATGCACGTGTCTCAGATCACCGAAAAGGTCGCAGCTAGAATACCCAAAGCAAAGCAGAAAAACAAGCATGGGGCTAGCGTGTATGCCATCCGGGGGACAGGCACGTCGCTCCACGTTCCGGTGTACGATCTCGCTCGTTGGCGGCTGAAGAGTGTACCTCTTGAGGGTAAGGATGTGTTCATCACGAATCACGAATGCGGGGCTCCACAGTCACAACAGCTAGTGATAGTGAGTGCATGACGGAGCGACTGACTACCTTGCAAGCTTGGCGCGCCATCACTTGCTTCACCGAACGTCGAGCACAGTCGGCGGGTGATCTTCGTGTCTTCTGGACGTGCTTGGTGTCTGGACGTGCTTGGCTAGATCATCGACGTCCGCGCGTTCACCGAGCTGGACAGATCTTGAACACACACGCAGCGAGCACCAGTACTTGTCTACCTCCCGCCCATCGCTTGCACGACAACAAAAACGCAAGCCAGCATGAGTGCACAAGGTATTCAATGCAGGAGCCAAGTCTGCGAGCCGGGCCTCTGGGTGTGGGAAAGGGTTACTACGTACATGGCATGCGCTTCTGCAGCGACAAGCTTGGCTGGGAAATGTCGGGGAGAGTGAGCGTGGGTCGACGATGAAGATGATGACGATAAGGTATGAGCGAGTGTTCGAGAGGAAGATTGCCTTGACAGCCGTGGGGTAGACGGCAATGCTCCGGATTCGAAAAGGTGCATGTACCCAACGAGTGGAAATTAAAACCTCTGGAGGCGACGAGGTATGAGAGGACATGATTCTGATCGACGAGTTTGGAAACGCCGCAGCCTATTGGCTTGTGTGAAGGAGGACAAAGGCATAAACAGTCACGTCGGGCCAGGCGAACCTATCGACGGCCCTGGACACGGCTTGCATCAGAAGTGAAACCGCCTTCGTCGGCAGTGACCGCGCCATCGACGCTGGCGCCGCTCGTGAAGGCCTCGTTTCCAGACTCGTTCTCAGTTTCTGTGCCGGTACCAGTGCCGGTGCCGGAGGATCCACCACCAATGCGTGGGATCTCACCCTTGGTGGAGCTGACACATACGAGGGGCAGAGCGCCCTCTTGACCATCGGCAGCCCGTCCCAGTGCCCAGCCGTCGTCATACAATCTGACGATGGTGATGCGCTGATCGGGCTCGAGGGTAAGCTCGTCGTTCAGAGAGGCATTGTATGGGTAGACGGCGATGACATCCTCTCCAGGGAAAATTTCTTGGCCAGTGTACTGATCTCTTGCGGAAGCGACCGTGGTACCGCGACCATCGGTACCGCTACTGGTAGTGACACCACTGATGGGTCGGTTGGGGTCTGCTGCATCATTTTCGCTCCTTGCGGCTGCGCCAGCAGCAGCAGCAGCGCCAGCGGCACCGAATCCTGCGCCAGCGGCCGCTCCTCCAAGCGATGGTCGGCCCGCTGGGCTCTTGTCGCCAGCTGAAGGACTGCCCGCAGCGTCGCGACTCAAACCATCTTCCGAGTGCCAAGGCTTCTCGCCGGCCGCACCAGGATAGACACCAGCAGCGCCGGACTCGTTGCGACGTTTGCGGCCCAGGAGGGCAAAGACAGCTAATCCGCCGAGGACTAAAGCACCGATGATAACGCCGACGATGAGACCAGCGAGGCCACCGCGACTCAGGCCCGTGCCTTCACTGCTGCTGCCTGCTTGATCCGTTCCAGCACTACCGGCACCGCTAGGATTAGATGATGGTGCTGACGAGGAGGACGATGCAGTGGGAGAAGCCATGGCGGTGCCGACGGAAGTTGTAGGGAGAATCGCAGCGGCACCTGGGTGACCATAAGACGCACATCCAGACAGGGCGGTGTTGTTGGCATAGCAGCACGCAGGAACGGTGCGATTGCCACTAGGATCGCAAGCAGCGCAGAGTTGATTGCTAATACCCGGGCCAAACCCGCAATTGCCTTCATTGGCGTCGCCTTCCACGCAGGTTTGGTTGTTGGTCGACACTAGCGAAGTCCAATCGGTGCATGTGACGTAGTCGCGCTGCAACGTGTTGTACCTGGTTGTATTGCGTGCGGTTGTGAGGTTTGCGTCCGGTGTGCAAATCGCCGGGTTCTGAACGATCTCGCTCTGTGCAGCAGAGTATGTCAGGCACGTGTCCTGGCACACCATGATGGGGTCCGCGCGGTTGGCGACGTTGCACTGGGCGCTGTAGGAGATCTGTGAAAACTGACCACAGAGTATCGTTCGCTCGTACTGCAGTGTGGTGTTCAGCGCTGCGGTCCGGTTGCACGCAAGTTGGCGCCCGAGCTTCTCAGCGAGGAAGCGGTTGGGGTCGGTGAAATACGCTGCAAACTGCTGGTCGAACGTCGTCACATTGGTAACGCTGGCGAACCAAGGCCAAGCTGACGAGAGATTTTGAGGATTGATGTCTGCGGAAAGCAAGCGATGGCAGCGTCAGCGATATGTAGCCACGGTCAGAGGAGATGGTCGTCGTCACAGTGCCCGAAGCCACGTCGCGATGAGCAAGTCTAACCATCCAACTTTACTCACATGCATCCTGGAAGCTTGGGCACTGGACACTGCCCTGCAGACTGACGCATTGTCCATCCAGAGCGCCTTGCGCCTTGGCGGAAATGGCCATCGATAGTCCCAATGCAAGAGCGATGCCGAACATTTTGTTCAACATATTTGGCCAAGAGACCACAAGGCGAAGACGTCTACCGAGAGGTGGTGAGAGGGATCGGCAAGTGTGCAGGCACTGGAGGTTGCACGTCTTTGCCGGATGGTTCCTCGGAAAGACGAAGACGCGCCCACGACAGAATGGCACAAGAGCCGAATGAGGAAGTAAGCACGCCGGGCGCAGACAGCGGCTTATGCAGTTTTGACCTCTGTGGAAGGGCGTCCAGAGTGCTAGGTGCTGAGAGCCGATTTAGGTGCTGGCCGAATAAAGAAAGTTAATTGGGGAAACAGCGCGTGGCTATGAGACGATGAAGGGAAAGGCGCGAAAGCTCCTTCTTTCGGAGTGTAGAAGGGGGGACGTCTGAAGGATGGGCGAGTAGATGGGGGTGTTGACGTCGCTACGAGTATTGTGAGGTGCGGAAGGACTGGGCAGAGGGAGATAGGATGAAGGAGTAAGATTCGTAGCTGGACGATTCCAGGATTGGTGCCAGATGACTGGAGGCTGGATGTAAATGAGGGGAAGCTATACAAGTCCTTCACAATTGTGAGTTGGCAGGGGGAGAGGAAGCGCAATCACCAATCCCGCCTTGTCCATCGTCGTGAGCGCGTGTGCAGCAAGCAGCACTCAAAATTGCAGGCAAGTTGGCCGGTACGGATGCCAAGGGGAAGGGGGCAAGCGCGTAAGGGACGCACGCACGCGCACATCATGGAAAGATCCCGCGCGCGCCAGAAAGTCTGTCGCGAGCATCATCGCAGCAGCAGCTGGCGAGTCACCATGCAACCCGCTGCGCTCGGATCCCGCGTCGCGCGAGTCATGATATCACACAGTCTTGATGCTCGACTCTTTCACGGCTACAAAGCCGTCACTGTGGGCGCCTGCCATGCAATTGCTGCTGCATCGCGACTCACCACTCGGACAGACTGCCGTGAGGCCATCATGCAGCCCCTGTTGGACTTTCCTATTTCACCACGCATGAAAGTGTGGTCTAATAAACGAATCGACGTGACCGGTGCCTGCAGAGCACACAGCTGGCACGCCACTTGCTCGCCATGCCTCTCGTAAGGATAAACACGATCGAGCTTTTGTGATCGCGGGCAGGGCTGCCGCTGATGGGGATGGCATCCATGCGCCATGCATCAGCAGCAGCGATCCGCCTCCGTGCATAGACGCTCGCAGCTCGTCTGCATCCGCGCAGCAATTGTTTGGCTTCAACAAGGCCTTTGCCTATCGCGCTTCGCAAGCTTATTCTAGCTGCCTCGATCATTCATAGTCAAGAATGGTACATAGCGAAGTATCTGCCAACGTTATGAGAAAAATCAGCCAATGATATTCATAACTAACACGTTAGCGAGCGCTCAATTGACTGAGACCTGCACAACAAATAGCCGCTATTACTAGCTGTTGCCGCACGGTGCTGCACACGATGATGCTTTCGCCTGCTGAGCAATCACACGAAACCTTGATCGCGACAAGGCTGCACAGCAGCCGCCGCCGCCTTGCTTTCAACAGCAAGCTAGGTGTCTATATGAAAATTGGCAACAAGCACACACAATCACAAACAAAGTGCACTTAAAAAGCGTGTCTTAGGCCGATATTATGACACATATGAGCAAGGGCAGGTCCGAGCTGCCACACGGTCACGATTTCAAACTCCGAAGTTGCTGCTGATGATGATGCCGCACACCCCCGCCCCCGCGCCCCCCAGTCTCGCTCCGCTGTGCCATCTGGCGCGCTTCATTTGGATGCAACAACCGCAATGCTGGACTCGACACCGAAGGCTCGCGGTTGTGTGAACCCCTGCGTGAATAATTAAGCTCCTCTGACGGCAGGAATTCCTTGACCGGCCTGAATTCATGGCTAGCTGTGGCAAAGTCGTCCTGACTTAAATGAATCGTCCCCTTGCGTCGCACGCGCCGCGCGGAGGGGCGGGGCGCGCCGAGCGCTGGTGCCGGTACGGCATGAATCGATCTTGAATGCTGCCGCGCGGATCTCAAATGGCTGTGATGAGTCTACATGAGGCCGCCCAAAGCAAGAGTCAAGCATGTCACAAGACCGGGTGAGATCAAAGGCGGGTCTTCGGTCGAGTCTTGGTGCGTGCTGTTGGATGATCTTCTGCATTGCTTCAAGTCCTTACTGCATCACGTGATTCACAAGACATCGTCGCGCCACGGAGTGCGCGAGAGAACCGCGCGACGCGACCCTTCATACCACAGCTCGTCAAAAGTTTCACTGCATGGCATTGAGTCACGGTGACTGCGAAACCAGTCATGCTGAGCGGAGAAGGTAGAAGGGGCCTCCATTGACACGACCATACGTATCACACACCTGATCCAGCACTCTTTGCTTTCCATCTCGTACACGAACACAGCTGCAAGTATCGAAGTCCGTCTCTGACCGGCCTTCGCAAACTCTTTGACACCTCCGACGCGCCCCCTTGTCGAGTATATGCATCACACCCGCAATCGCAATTTAAGACAGCACACTTCACAACGCTCTCACACACAGACATCGCGAGAATCTGGACAACATGGCGCAGTTTACAATGACCCCGCTCTCATCGATGGTGGCTCCTCAGATCACCAGCAGCCTTCGCTTCGACCACCTTCAGCCGAGGCACATCGAGGCGTACAGCAATTCAACAGAGTTGCTCAGCGTGCCGGCAGACGCCACGCAGCGAGACTTGCACTGCAAGATGATCGAGAGGATGACGAGCCTGCATTAAAGGGCTTTCATCCTGACTGCGATGACGACGAAGCCATCGCTCGGGCATTGGCCGAGGCGGATGACCACCATTCGAGATCGCCCGGCGATCAGGAAGCGACAGCCTCGGAGCTCGATTCTGAAGAGGCCGACTCGTGAGTCTTCGCACTCCAGCATGCTAGCGGCCCATCGTCAGTGCGCTCATAGACTAACTAGAACTTGTATGCGGCCCGTATCGACAGGTGTCCCTTGCTGCACCTTCCGCCTGAGCTGCTGGTCAGGATTCTCGCGTTCTTGGACCCAATCAGTCTGGCAACAGCTGCCCGCACGTGTCGTCTAATCGGTCAATGGACTCGAGACGATTCGACGTGGCGTTTGGCTTTCGCTCTCGCTTTCGGCCTAGAGAATAAAGACGTGGTGCCCAGTTTGCGGCGCATCGAGTCCGGAAGCTGGAAGCTGGAGTATTTTCGCCGCTCAGAGACTCTTCGCCGCTGGCGCAAATCGCGTGCACCCACTGTCATCCACGATCCGCACATCGCGACGCTCAGCGGATTTGCACTTAATCTGCAGCATTCGTTCCTTCTCTCGGTATCGCAGACCCACGGAGTCGCCGCTCGATCCAATCCATTTTCGGGCAAGGTTGCCCTTGGCTTCCTGGACGCCCGTGGAGGCATCGTCAATCATACCTCCCACGCGGACGCGCTCATTAGTGCAGTCGCTCTCGATGCCGATGCAGGGCGTGTCATTTGGGGATCGGTCACCGGTGGCGTCACTCAAACGACTTTGACGCGACAAGGCAACAAGCCGCACGCCCTCATTCGCAGTCATGCCTTTTCGGGTCGTGCAGCGCATGCTGGCAGTATTCTAGCAATTGCGCCAGCTCTTGATGGCAACAAACCAGGCTCCCAAGGAATCGGCAGAGCTCCTGAGCGTCTCCGACAGAAGCAGGAGGCCCTCGGAGATGCTGCACTGACTTTTGTCACCGCTGGTACTGACGCTACAGTCCGTCTGTGGTGCCCAAGCCGGCCTGTGCCCTTGTGGACAGGTCTGGTCAAAGCGCAGCAGCGCGACGACAGCGGCGCGATTCTACCGCCTTCGCGAGTTGCACCGCCGCCAGTGGTATGCGTCGACTACGATGCATCAGCGGGCGTCGTTGCTGCCGGCACGTCTGAAGGAGAAATCTGCATCTGGAAAAACCTCGATGTCAAAGCACTTCTCGCACTACCAGCTACTGCCCTTGAAGAGCCAGGAGCGATAGCAACACCGTCGCAGCGAGAGGCGAGGGAGCGCTATCGAGCCGTGCTCTCTGCCGTCACCCGGCACGAGCTGCCTAAACCTGCCAAATACGCCATGCACGATCCAGCAGTGGAGTCGGTAGTGCTCGAGCAAGCCCCGATCCAAATCTCAGCCTCGTGCTCAAGCAAACCAGTCAGCTTGCTAGCACGCTATGCGAGAGCGCCCTTCTTTTGCAAGCATACGCTTCATCCTTCAGGCGCCGGACAACAAGCGCGTGTTATCAGCAGAATGTTTAGCTCTCCAACAAGCACGGCAATCACGTCCGTCAGGCCTGATTTCGAGATGTATGCTCTGAAGGCTCGTCGCCATGCAACGTCCGCCCAGGGGCAAGTCGTCAAAGAGTCCGAAGCTACCCCTGTGCCGGTTCCTTCGAGCTCCCTCGTCCTCGGGCAACCTTCTACTCCGCTTGGCGAGGCAAGTTTTGCGGAGCGAACATGTGTATTTGCGGGCACGATGGACGGACACGTCTGCGCATGGGACTGGAGCGACGATGCTACCAGTGCATCTCTGTGCAGCCCAGTCCGATCGCTTGAGATCCGCGCGCACCATTGCGCCATCACGGCAATAGACGTGACAGCACACGCTGTGGTAGTCGGCGCTGCCGACGGGACCATCAAAGCCTTTTGCCCTCTTTCCGGGGCGCACATTCGGACATTTAACGATCGCACCGCTACACGCCATCCAGCCCGAGCGCTCATGGCCGGAGACATGTCAGTCGAAGAGGCATCAAAGTACGCGGTCAGCCAAATTGCAAGTGGACCTGACACGCTGGTGGCCGCCATCGGTCCACACGTCCTGGCGTGGCGAGCTGGTCCTCTGATCAAAGGCAAGCGCGCGTTAGGGTTGACAGGTGAGACAGGCTTGAACAGATCGTCGGGAAGACCGGCGCGCACCAAGGAGAGCAAATTCGTGGTTGGTAGAGATCTTCGCGACGACGTTCAAGAGACTGCCACACGGCTCCAAAACGAGCGAGACTCGGCGCAAGCCGAATGCCATCGTTTGCGCTTCGTAGCAGGCAGTGCAGAGAACGACCTTGACGAGCAGGACGCTCTGCAGCTGGCTTTGATGCTCAGTAGAGACGAAGCCGAAGCGGGTAAATTCCGCGCCGTCGATGAGCACGGAGTCGCCGATGGCCCCTCTTCGAGTCGCACACCAGCACGCGGTGAGACCCCTCCGCCAGACGATATTGAAGCGGTGTTGCAACAAATTGCGATAGCGGAGAGCCAATGGCAAGCAGAGCACGAGCGTGCTGAGCGCAGTACCTCCACCTCCGCTCAAGAATCAGAACACGATTTCACTGGTGTTGAGGACTTGTCCACGTCAGCTTCTCCATCTCCTTCGCCGTCCCCGCACTCATTACCGCTGACGTCCCCGTCGCGGGCTTGGGACATTATCGCCACGGCAGGCTCTTCCGCTAGTCCGTCTACGCGAGCTATGAGGAGGACGCCAAATGCCAAGGTTCAGACTGTGCAGGTCCCTGCAGCCGCTCGACGAGGCTCGCAAAGAAGTCTCGCAGGTGGTAGCCTAAGCGGGAGTTTGACTGGATCGGCGAATCTCAGCGCCACAAGCGGACCGTGGACTCCCGCGGGCGTTGGCGATCCCCCAGAGCTGAACTTGGACAGCTCTGATGCCTGGCCCCTCGCAACGAGCCCTTCGGGTCCTCATGCAACGATGAGCATCCCGTCTCTCTCGACATCAGAGGTAGCCAGCCCTTCGGCTCACGCATGGCGGAGAAGCTCGAGTTCCAGTGCTGGTCCGTCTCTTCCAAACTCGCATGCCCCTTCTTCTTCGAGCTCCAGCAAAGGCGGCAACCACAATGCCTGGGTTCGTGGCAGCATTTCGCACCAGGATTCGTTGTGACAAAGGGGACCTGAAGGGAGCTCTTACTGCTCGCCGTTAGAAATCACTCTCCATTCTTGATGCGAAGCACTCTTTCACATAGACTTTTCCGCACGGAGCCGAGCTCCAAATTCGAGCACATGCTCTCTTGCTACGCGAACCAATTAATTACACGTCTCGTCCTTAGACCTCTCCACGAAGAAATACGGATACAATGCATGTGAACTGTTACAATTGATCGGCGTCGAAGACTTTTGCTCGGAGAGCAGCGAGGAAGGATCCTCCTGGATGAAGCGTGGCATGGCCACGAATTATGAACAGCTCTCGAGACTACCATTTCACGCGTTTGTGAGCTTCCTTGACATCGTCATTCGAACGCTGAATCGGCGATCCCTCTTCGGCCTTGACACTGTCACTGTTCGATCGTTTGCCGAACGACCTTCCTCGCTTGTCTCCGCTGCCCAATGCAGGTGCAGTCCAAGCCACATCTCTAAGTGTCGCTTCTCCGCCGGGCTCCTTGCCAGCATTGTTATTCACTCGACTGCGCGCGCTTGCTCTCGCCGCTTTCGCTCTGCCCTCATTGGCCCAACAAAAGAAATCGCACCTGTACTGCCGGTCCACGTCCTTCTTGTCTCTTCCGGAGCGCTCATACCCATGTCCCACAGGTCGGGAGCAGAGGTAGAATTTGCGTCCGTGATTAGGTCCCGATTTGTTCACTGTCCATGCTGTGCAGACTTCGTCGTGCACCCGACAGAGCGGTGCGGGAGGCGGAGCAAAGATAGAACCCCATGCCAAAGAGGTCGAAACTCGCGTAGCCGCGTCATCTGCGGGTGCGTCTTTCGGTTGCGAGCCCGATGCTACTTCTGTGCCCTCTGCGATCTTGCCTTCGTCTGCGTCTGCTAATCCCGCATCGGCGCTGGAGATTTGCTGCGTGTCGACTCGGGAGACGTTCAACTGCTCGAGCTCATGTCTCGTGATGCTCGAAGACGTATCTACGCTAGACTGGGGCAACCGTGTGTATGGTGGATCTTCCTTCGTCATATCAATGTGATGCGTGGCAGGCTCCTTCGCCACGCGAGAGGGCTCTGATGTGTCGCCGGAGGCTGTGTAAAAAAAGCTCCTCAGTTTCAATTGTCCCTGATCCTTGTCGCGTCCATTCGCTTTGCTTTCCCTAGGATTGGAAGCAATGAGAAGCTTCGAAGAGCTGCGTCCCTTTGCAAAGATGTTTGTGTCCGATTTGCGTCCCTTTGCAAAGATGTTTGCGTCCGATTTGCGTCCCTTAGCTCTGCTAGCTGATGTCGTCGCCGAAGGTGATGCGGGGGATGCATCCACTCGTGAAGGAGAGTTGGGGTTGATAGGGCTCGCGGAGTTTCTGGCCACTGACGTTGATGTCGACAGTCCCAACTCATTATTGTGAGCGGCCCGACTTGTGTCAGGCTCGCCGAGTTGAAGCGAAGCCTGTCCAGAGGCTACGGGCGCAGGCGACGCGGCAGAGCCTCCGAAGAAGCTTTTAATACCCCTTTGGCTGAGTTCAGGCCAATTGCAGCTGGCGAGCGGTGGGGCCTTCCTAGCAGCATGCGCCTCGCCGCCACCCAGCACATCTCGCAGATGGTTCTTCTTGCCATTTCGATCTGTGATCTCGTCATGCAAGTCGATCCAAACTGGGCAATGGTCACTGCCGTAGACGTCCTGAGCCACGTCCGAGTCTTTGAACCAAGGTATCAAGCCTTCGTCAATTAGGATATAGTCGATGCGCGTGCCGTAATTCGCTGGTCGGGCATCTATCAGAGTATTCCACACCGTATACATGCCCTTTCGACCAGGATGCTTCATCCGCGTGACGTCGTGGAATCTCCCTCGTGGGGCCAAAAAGGAGTCCAACCAGGCACGCGCCGGGTGCGCGCTCAGAAAATCGGAAGCCGACTCGCGGCCAACAGAGTCACAGTGGTCGATAGGAAGATGTGCAACGTTGATGTCGCCAAGAACTGCAAAAGCATTATCGCGTCAGAAATCTGCCCTTCCCTTCGCTTGCCATGCCCGCTTAATGGACGGAAAGACTCACTGATGACGTGTCTGCCAGCATCCAGGAGGCGATGGGCGCGTTCTTGCAAAGCAGCATTGAACGCCATCTTGTATTCTCTTCTGCTCTCGTCCGTCTCGTTTGGGCAGTACAAGTTGAAGAGGACAAAGAGACCGCAATCGATCACGCAGGCTCTTCCTTCCGCATCGATCGACTCCCACACTGCTTCATCGCGCGGATCCGGGTAGCAACCGATACTTCTGGGCTGAGCTATGGTGCCGGTGATGCCGCGCTCAGCAGCACGTGGTCTGCAGCTGGAGTCCTTGACGTAGGTGACCACACCCGAGTAGCCCTTGGTAGGATGCAGATCAAAGTAGCTGGTGTATGCTTGTGGCAAGCACATGTCTCGATCATTCAACACCACCTTGCGCGTAGCTTTGACCTCTTGAAAACACACGATGTCGGCCTCGAGGTGGTCCAGACAATCTGACCAACTTGACAAATTGATCCATGGCCGATAATGCCGAATCGTCTTGAGCCCGTTCACGTTCCACGTGACGATTCGCATCCTTGTGCGGTGAGGAGGTCGCAGGAAGGAGGAGAGGTAACACGCGATACCGCAACACGGTCAAATAATCACACCGCCGAGTGATGAACGTCGAAGCATACTGCAAGGTCGCAAAGAAGTCGGCAGCACGTAGCGCAGAGGTGGAAAAGGTCGCGAATCGCAAAACAAGAGGCAAAAGGTGAGCGAAGGGCAATGTAGGTTGCGGGACAGCGGCGTGGAAGGCGTGGTTCGGCCCAAAAGAGCGTGTGTAGAGTGTCGCGGGAGCTGCACAGAATCGAACCCGAGTGTCAATTGCAGGCAAGCCAGGCATGCACGAGGGTTGAGAAGCTGGCTGGAATGAGCAATGAAGCTGCTGCATGGCGCTTGATGGAAGTGGGATGGATGCGACGAGGTGAGCCATCGCAGCCAAGACCGAATCCTGTCCAGCTGAGCATGCAGTCACAGTCGCGAGCGCGGGTGGAGGCACGCCGTGCTGCAAAAGTAGTATCACGTGACTGGCAGGCTCCACCTTCCATCAGCAAGCGCGCGGACCATCGACGCGCGTCCTCTGAACGCGGAGCGGAGGGGTTCATGAGGATGTGGGTGTGTGCCATGCCTTCATGTTTCCTCACGACTGCAGGTGTTCACGGCTTGCGTCCACGATCATTCCGCTCTCCACGGTCCCATCGAGTTCGACAGTCTTCGAAATAACGGCCAGGAAGCCTCGCAGAGCACATATAGTGAGAAATCTCCTCGACCGAGACAGCCACTCTGGTCCACGATGGCTCCCAAGGCAGATTGGGAAAAGTACAAGAAGCCAGATGTGGACAAGAAGGATGACGAGCCCATCGTAGCGCTAGACGAGGGAGATATTCAGCTCCTCAAGACGTATGGTCAAGGACCCTACGCTATTGCACTCAAGGCGATCGAGCAAGAGATCAAGGATGTTCAGTCTAGGATCAACGAGAAGCAGGGTGTCAAAGAGAGCGATACCGGTTTGGCACCTCCCAATCTTTGGGACGTGGCTGCTGACAGGCAGAGAATGGGAGAGGAACATCCGTTGCAAGTAGCCAGGTGCACGAAAATCATCAAGGCGGGCGAAGGTGCTGACAAGAGGGAGAACTCAGCTCCGGATGGCAATGCTGGCCCTGGCGGCGGAGACGCTGCCACTGCAACCAATACTGGTGCTGCTGCAGGCAATGCGGCCAGTGGCGGCAGACCAAGACCCACACTGGGCGGTCTGGGCGGATTGGGCGGCCTTGGAGGTCAAGGCGCTCCTAATGCAGAAGAGGAGGACAAGTATGTGATCAACGTCAAGCAGATCGCGAAATTCGTCGTTGGTCTGGGCGAGCGAGTAGCACCCACAGATATCGAGGAGGGCATGCGTGTCGGGTGAGTTTATCGCGCTTGCTCTAGCGAGGAGGGGAGCTGCGCGTTCCTCCATGGACGCATACACCAGAGCTGTGTGGATTCTAATCCCTATTCTCCCATTGCTCGACCCAGCGTTGATCGCAACAAGTACCAAATCCAGATCCCTTTGCCACCCAAGATTGACCCTAGCGTCACTATGATGCAGGTCGAGGAGAAGCCGGACGTCACATACGGAGACGTCGGAGGCTGCAAGGAGCAAATTGAGAAACTCAGAGAAGTCGTCGAGACGCCTTTGTTGAATGTGAGACGTCTGCGGCTCGGTCAAGCAATGTGACGAGTGGATGCTGACTCATTCATCTTGGCTCCTTCGCCTACGTGATATTCGACAGCCCGAACGCTTTGTCAATCTCGGTATCGACCCTCCAAAGGGAGTTTTGCTATTCGGCCCCCCTGGAACTGGCAAAACTCTTTGCGCGCGTGCAGTAGCCAACAGGACAGATGCCACCTTCATCCGTGTCATCGGATCCGAGCTGGTGCAGAAGTACGTTGGAGAGGGAGCTCGAATGGTTCGAGAGCTGTTCGAGATGGCGAGAAGCAAAAAAGCCTGCATCATTTTCTTTGACGAGGTGGATGCTATTGGTGGAGCTAGATTCGACGATGGAGCTGGAGGTGACAACGAGGTTCAGCGAACCATGTTGGAATTGATCAATCAGCTGGATGGCTTCGATGCTAGAGGCAACATCAAAGTACTCATGGCGACGAACAGGTGAGTTCAACAAATAGACGTGTGCGAGCAAGCTTCGTTCAGCTGCTGATGCACAGTGTTCCCACCGCACTCAGACCGGACACGCTCGACCCAGCATTGCTGAGACCCGGGCGTCTGGACCGACGAGTGGAATTTGGCTTGCCGGACAATGAAGGCAGAGCACACATTCTTCGTATTCACGCTCGAAGCATGTCGGTCGAGCGAGACATTCGATTTGACCTGATTGCCCGTCTATGTCCCAACACGACCGGTGCTGAGCTTAGAAGCGTCGCAACCGAAGTGAGTGCCTCGACCTCGTCACCAGCCGCCTCCGCGCGTGATGGTCTGGCTGACGCATTACCCTTCCTTGTCTTGCAGGCCGGCATGTTTGCCATTAGAGCGAGGAGAAAGATGGCCACAGAGAGGGACTTCTTGGACGCTGTGGAAAAGGTTGTCAGGCAAGGCTCCAAATTCTCCAGCACGAGCCTGTACGCGCAGTACAATTGATCGTAGACACCCCGCAGCACGTCTGCCCCTAGCAATCAGTACCGGTTTTGCCTTACGGTCATCACAGCCAGGACGCCGTGTGACGTTCTGAATATTGCAGACGGGCTTCGCTGCTGTATGAGAGTCTGTCGGGAGCGTGTTTGATTGCAAAGGCAAAGCAATTGTGCAGGCAGAGCAAACAATGGTCTACAGATGACTATGTGAGCGAGCATGAGAAGCGGCGATCCGGCAAGATGTCTAAGATCCGAAGACGGGCACGGAAGAGGCGGCGCGGAAACCGGTGAGCAAGGAGTTGCTCAACGGGCGCCGTGTCAAGAACAGAACAAAATGTACAGGTGGGGGGCTTGAAGGAGCAGAAGAAAACATCTCGCGACACAAATCCTGATGAATCGGCCGGGCGAGCGAGCGAGCGAGCGAGCGCAAGTCAATTTTGTTGCCTAGGAAGAGTTTCTCTGGCTTGGAACATCAAAGCTCGACCAGCTGCTGACTCCAAGACGGCTGTTGCGCTGTGTCCAGTGTTGTGCACAGCAGCGATTCGATGATTGACGCTAACTCCTCTGAATTGGCCAAGGTGAGCAGCAGATGATGTAGGAATCCGACCTCCATTATTGCTCTTGCCTGGTTCCAAAGCTGGGAAATCACCAAAAAGACTTCTTATGGAGGCGTTGCTGTTGCCGCTAAGCAGGTTGAGGTACTTCCAATAGGCCCAGCTTCGATTGTGACGAATCGGACCGCCAGCTGCTCGGCCTCCGCAGAGCTGGTCGCCCTCGACCGAGGAGTCGTCGTCGCTGGCTACGAGGTATCGCACGTCCCGCGAGGCGTATCTCTTGAAGAGGAAAGCAGCGCTTCCGGGCAGACGGTAAGGGCTGCGGTAGTTTGCGAGACCGTAACGAAAGTCGTCGAACCAGTTGCAACTTCTAGTGTCCACTTCGACAGGGCGGTCTCGAGTGAAATAGAGCATGGAGGAAGGGTTGGCAACGACGTAGCGGACGCTAATACGTCCAGGAGCGGGGTTGTCTCGGCCCAGGACTGCGTATCGCTGCACCACTTGAGCTCCACCGCCATGGCCCAAAAAGGTGATCGTCCTCATGCGCGGGTAGTTGCGGCTATCGCTGTACTTTTCCAAAAAGAAGTCGTACACAGAGAACAAACTCAGGTTGGATCCCGCTGGGTTGGTGCTTCCGTCACCACCTGTCCATGTGTTCGAGTCGCCCCATGCCAGCGTGCTTGCGTTGATAGCTCTGCTGTCCCTGAGCGTGCTGAAGAAGAGGGGTGCAATCCTCAGAGAGTTGGGCCGCGCAGATCCGACACCAGCATCCCTCGCGTGGGCCCACGCGTTGTTCAGAATGCGAAAGTAGGTGTTTGCATTGCGGTTCACGCCGTGCAAGTTGATAAAGACAGATTCGGCGTCCCGCTCGTTGTGCGGCGTCTTGCTCTGCCATGCAAACAGACGTCCGGATCCGATTTGAAACGTGGTGGCAAAAGCTCCTGCGGGACGCTCGCCCGTAGATGTTAGACGTTTGTCGTCGGCAAGCCCACGGTTGTCGGTAAAGGCGTCCCTCTCTTCGAGCGGGTGCAGCAAATCAAAAGCAGCACTTCCGTTGACATCTTGAGCGCGGGCATCAAAGAGGGTATTTCTAGCCTCGAGTGCAAGTGGTGTAGCAGCTCCATGAGCAAGCTCGGCGATGAATGGGAACGCAAGTGCGACGCTGGCCAAGAGGAAAAGCCGCATTGTGAACAAGGTGAAATGTCCAAGTGTGTGGATTGCGTTGCGAGAAAGGCTTGCAGGGGGGTTGATGAGACCGTGCGTCTTATAGGTGCCCACGACGTGAGTGAGTAGGTGCACGAGTTGGCCGAAAGAGCAGACCAAAGGGCTGCAGAGCAATCTTGAAAGAGTGCGTGATCCGAGAGTGTACCTTGCCTTCCAGCTTGATGTGAAGGCTATGGGCAGATCGTGAGCGAGGAGCGCGGAGAAAATCAGGTTAAGGTGGTCAGTGGCTTGAAAGTTGGACGGAAGAGGCAAAGTAAAGAGCGGAAAGGACTGTGCTTGTTGATGAACTCAAAGAGTGTGGGAGATTGTCAAGAGCGAGAAGATGTGTGGCTGGAGCACAGCCTCGAGGTGATGAGACAGGATTCTCGGTGCCAAGATGATGACGATGATGATGAGAGACAGAAAGAGCGCATTTATAATCGTCTGGGTTCCAAAAGATATCGGTCAGTCAAACGCACACCACTACGAAGCAGGCGCGCATGATCGCAAATCGGTGGAAGTGGCCCGGCGAGTGCTGTTGCAGTCGCAATCGCACACCACTACGAAGCAGGTGCGCATGATCGCAAATCGGTGGAAGTGGCCCGGCGAGTGCTGTTGCAGTCGGATCGACAGCCGCATACTTTACCTCTCGGTCAGCCCTCATTCCCCACGGCCTGCTTCCTTGCAGACGGCAAGTCTGCCGAAGATCGCGGGCAAAGTCTCTGTACTGTTATCATTGCGGGATGGGGCATCAGCGAAGCAGGCGAAGTTGACAGTCGTAGGCCATGCTGTAGTCAAGAGTGTACCGATCTGCCACATCATCGACCAGCGGTTCCGGTGGCTCAGGACGGTGCAGGGCGGTTTGCAGACCGAAGGGCTTGGACCGTCTCGTCGTCCGGTGTTTCGGCGACACGCCCTCGTTGAGCTTGGCAACACAAGCGCCGCTCGAGCACCGTTGACTCTAGCTTGCCCGTTGCCGCGCCTCTAAAGAGTAGACGAGCTTTTTGTGGGCATCAGACCGCGGCGATGGCGGGCGGTGGGGTTTCCATAAGGTGGAAGAAGGCCTGCGGTCCGAGTAGCCGGGCCAATCTGACCGACTTTCCTGTCTCGTCTTGGCTGTCCTTCACCCTGAACTGTGACTGTACCGGTACCTGTACCACGACATCAAACCCACTCGTGGCTATGTGCGACGTGCGAGTTCTGTTTGCTTATGGCGAGCTACTTGCCGATCAAGCGGGTCAAAGATGTCGCGGCGAAGCAGCAGCAGAAGGGAGCAACCACCTTTTGATCTGCTTGCTTACATTTGACTTTTGGCGACTGCGGTCAGCTGGTAGAGCGGGCCAACTCACCACCATAT